GAGTCAACAAACCGTCGAGGATGATGAGCCTAGTATCTATGAGGAGGCAGTCAAGGATGTTGACTCCTCTAAATGGCTTGAAGCCATGGAATCTGAAATAGATTCGATGCATCAAAACAAGGTATGGACCTTGGTTCCAAAACCAAGAGGAATAGTTCCTAACGGTAATAAATGGGTCTTTAAAAGAAAGACTGATGCAAATGGCAATTTTCAAACCTACAAAGCTAGGTTGGTTGCGAAAGGATATCGTCAAAGACAAGGAGTTGACTATGATGAGACTTTCTCACCAGTTGCCATGATCAAATCTATTAGGATCATGCTTGCCATAGCAGCATATCACGACTATGAAATTTCGCAAATGGATGTCAAGACCGCCTTCCTGAATGGATTCTTGAAGGAGGAAGTGTACATGACACAACCTGAAGGTTTTCAAGCCAAAGGCCAACAGCATATGGTATGCAAACTTCAAAGGTCAATATATGGGCTAAAACAAGCATCAAGGAGCTGGAATATTCATTTTGATGAAGTCGTTAGGAGTAACGATTTCATCAAGAACGAGGAAGAACCTTGTGTTTACAAGAAGGTTAGTGGGAGTAATGTCATTTTTTTGATACTTTATGTAGATGACATATTACTTATAGGAAATGACATACCCACATTACAAACAACGAAGGACTGGCTTTCAAAAAGCTTCACCATGAAGGATTTGGGAAAAGCGGCCTTTATACTTGGTATAAAGATCTATAGAGATAAATCCAAGAGGCTGCTGGGTTTATCTCAATCCACGTATGTTGACAAGATGCTAAAGAGGTTTAGCATGGAAGGGTCGAAAACGGGTTTTCTTCCCGTCAGTCATGGGGTACATCTTTCCAAGGCTATGTGTCCTAAGTCACAGCCTGAGAAGGATCGCATGAGTGGAATTCCATACGCTTTGGCTATTGGATCCATCATGTATGCCATGATATGTACGAGACCAGATGTCTCATATGCTTTGAGCATTACGAGCAGATACCAGTCAGACCCTGGAGAAGGTCACTGGACAGCAGTCAAGACCATCCTTAAGTACTTGAGAAGAACTAAGGATGCGTTTCTGGTCTATGGTGGGGTGGATGAGCTTTCAGTTAAAGGATTCACTGATGCTAGCTTTCAGAGTGACAAAGATGACTGCAAGTCACAGTCAGGATTCGTATTCACCTTAAATGGTGGGGCAGTGTCTTGGAAGAGTTCCAAGCAGGAGACTACAGCAGATTCAACGACACAAGCTGAATACATAGCTGCTTTAGAAGCGGCTAAGGAGGCCGTGTGGATCAAGAAGTTAATATCTGAACTAAGGGTGGTTCCAAGTGTGGATATGCCCATACAGTTGCTTTGCGACAACACAGAAGCCATTGCGCAGTCAAAGGAACCTAGGTCTCATCAAAGATCTAAACACGTGCTCCACAGATATCATCTGATTAGAGAAATCATTGATAGGATGGATGTAAAGATGGATTATGTTCCCATTGATGACATCCTAACCGATTCTCTGACGAAGGCTGTTTCTCAGAGAAACCATGATAGTCATTTTGAGGCTTTGGGTATACGACTTAGGTCAGATTGGCTCTAGGCCAAGTGGGAGCTTGTTAGTATATGGATGTCCTAGAGACAATCTTTTGATTAGATTAGGACATATGTGGACCTTTTATTTTGTCACAAATAAATATAAGCACTCTTTATCCTGTTTCATGTTTTGTCTCGATATTATTAATATTATATGAGTAACTGGATAAACCCCTTGGAATAGAATAGGTATCTCTTGAGTATCAGTGATGAGATCACGATCATGAGGATTCAAGTATACTGGATGTTTATTCCTAATTTTATGTTCCTAGTCTAGAGACACTGAGAATGGGGATCAGTAATCTCAGGTAAGACTAGCACAACTTATCTACTTGTATTCGGATACAAGGTAAGGACCTCATGAGCTACAGATATGGAGATGTTTTAGCTAAAGTCGTACGTGGACCTATAAGGGTATAGCTCGCACTGAACAGACCCACAAAGAGACTCTATGAGGAAATCTCACAAATAGTATCATTAGAGCAGTCTCTCAATATTTGGGTATGTCTTTCCTTAGACCAGAAGTTTTCACCTAGCCCGTGTTCTGGAAGGCATGCTTTAATTGTATACCTCGTCTTCCTGAAACATGGAGACTCATAGGTATACTTTTGGGCATGTCCTGAAAGAGCACAGGCCTAGGGTGATAAGCTGAAGGAAATCGTCAAATCTCTGTGAGGGATTAGGTTATCTATAAACCGGAGAAATCGGGATGACATTTACAGGACTCGGGAATCTATGCATAATAAAAGAGATCATAAGATGATTTGCCTTTAGAGTCAGTAAATTGAAGATTCCCTATTTCGAATTAAAGCTTACCCTAAACCGCAAGAGTTGATACGTATCCTCACCCTAGGTTTAAAGGGAAGGTAACCGAGACGAAAGGAAATACATACGGTAACCAAATATATGTAATAGGATGATCATGTCATTAACCTAACTAGCTCTGGGGTAACAAAGCATTGCTACTGTTCTATGTTGTCATTAAATGGGTTGTGGGCTTGTTGGGCCCAAGCCCATTTATGTCAGTGGCTATGTTGGGCCTAATGGGTCACACACTAACACCTTATTGTCTTGATGAATATAGCATTAAAAGGTATTGGGCCTAATAAAGGTTGTTAGCCCAATAAGAAGTTTGGAAGCCCACCTAAGAGGGAAAGGGCGCATGGTACATGTAATGGGCTTGGATGGTCCAAGACATTATTAATTAATTTAATTAGTTAAATTAATTATCAAATATTTAAATTTTGAATTTAAATTTTGAATTTAAATTTTGAATTTAATTGTTTGAACGTTTGAATTTAAATTTTTGAATTCGAATTTGAATTGGCTATGAAAAGTTCTTTCATAACAAAAGGATAAGATAAGATCTTGTTGGAACAAATCCCAAGTATCAAGAGGAGATCTTTGGGCATCACCAAGGCTGATTTGGGGCGTTGATTTTGGGGTCTTATGATGGTCATATGATCAACCAAATAAGCTCCAATCAGATTTGGTTGGTTGAGAGAATAAGTGAGTGAGTTGGTTCAAATTTGAATGCAACTACTCAATGTATTTGGACTCTTTTTGGGCTGAATAAGGGCGCACCATATGGCTGGCCATATGATGGTTATTAAGTCAGATTTTTGACTAGGTATATACTTAGTCTCATTAGGATATGATAGGAGGTTGTTGGCTAGATTTGAATTGCAACAACTCCACTTATTCCTCCACCATTATGCGCTACATAGGTCAGATTTTTGGGAGAAAAATCTGATTCAATTCAATCATTCTCTCATCTCCAAGTGTGCTTCCTTTTGTGAGGTTCTTTTTAGGGTTTTTCAAAAATTACCTAGCCTTGTCTCATAGAATCCATGCGCCACTTTGTGAGTTTTTCATGCTGAAAAATTCACTCATCTAAATACATTAACCTTGCCTCCATCTTCTCTTATTAGCACGTCTAAAGTGCCTTCCTTGGGGTGTTCGTTTGGTTGCTTTTCAAGAAGGGTTCTTGCATCTTGACGTAGGGTGGTGTGGATCAACGTTAGAGGGTTTGAACCTTCAAACCTAACACTGATCATCTTGGAGTTTTGAATCACGAACAAGGTACATCCTACTGTCTTAAAGCATGTAACTTGATTAGCATGTGTGATTCCGCTTTGAAATTTTTTTGTTTTCATCCTCACATGCCATCGGCCTTCAAGGCCATTTTCTTTCATTTGACACGTCAGCTTTTTTGAGGGATGCAAGTGTGAACACACAGTGTGAACAGGAAGGGGTTTCTCTTGGTTCTCCTTTATATATATAATAGATTGGAGGATTAAATTGATAATATTTTAAATGTTTAATAGAGTAAAGTGTAGTTTTGTTTGTATGTGAATACACATCATTTTATGTAAATTAATTGTACAATTTAGATAATATAGTATAGTAATAATTAATAACCTTTGATTCAAAAATTGTTTTATAAATCTTGATAAAATACAAAACATAGAATTTTGTTTACGAACTCGCCATGCTTTTTTTTCTCTCTCAAATGAACCTTACATTTTAAAAACTTAAACGGATTTTTTTCGAATTCAAAAGTATAACTATTGTGCTTGTATTTTAATTAATATTGACCAAAATATTAAAGATAAAAGTAAGGTTTCTTCTACTAACTAATGTTCCACTCATCATCTTCCCTTCTCTTGTATACAAACATACATTGTGCTAAAATAAAATAATTGAGATTAATTAATAAATTAAAAATATTAAATTACTTTTTAGAAGATTTTGTCTTATAATAAAATCCTTTCTCTCAATCAAATCCAGAGCAATCATGTTGGAAATATTCAAGTAACGGTGAAGTCTCACATTGCTTAAAAATGAATTATTTAAAAATCATATAAATGCAACATAGACTTATAACTTTAAGATTTTAGGTTGAAATGTGATGTTAAGCTTACCTTTTATAGTTTGTCATTTAACATTACAATAAAAGTTTAGATGGCTGGGATTAGATACTAGTACCCCACCAGGGTCAGGACAGATCCCACAACCTCCTTGGAGATTTCTAGCTATAACAGATTACAGATCGACTACCAACGAGATACTCCCATTGGCTATCAGAATTTAACTCACGTCCTTATAGAGTATAAGTCTAATTCTTAATCAATTGTGCCCAGCTCATTTGCACTCATTTGAGTCATAAATGTATCCGAAGGGTTTTGGCCCTGTACTTACTGTGACTCCAATACTATATAAGTTGTTATTTGGCCAATTAGTGAAACTAATTCTTATAATATTAAACTCTTTCTCAAATCCAAAGGTATCAACGCACGTGACTTCTAGCCGTTGGTGGGTATACCAATATTTTGAGAGTTTCCAAAGGATCCAAGACGAGTATAATAACTTCGGATGTGAAGAGTGGCAAACAAGTCAAAATGGCCCCCCTCAGAAAGTTTGCTGCTGTGGTACTACTCTCATGGTTTGTGTTATCACTCTCATTGTTTCTTAGTACGAGAGCTGAGGAACTCAAATCTTCAAAACCTTGTGATTTTACAGCTATCTTCAACTTTGGTGATTCCTATTCAGACACTGGCTGCATGTCATCAGCATTTTACCCAGCAGTTTTGCCTTACGGTGAAACTTTCTTCAATGACCCTGCCGGTAGAGCTTCCGATGGCCGCCTTATCATAGATTTCATTGGTAAAAAATTTCTCTGTACTTTTTTTTTTCCTTTTATGTGTTCATATGTTATAAGTTCAACTGCGAGTAATGAATAATTAAGTTTCACATTAAATAATGGAAAAATTATTTATCCTTTTAAATAACACAATTTATATTATTTCACTCCTAATAAAGAGGTGAGACTCACATTTTTATTTTTTTGTCAGCTTTTTTTTTTTTATTTATCTTTTTCTCTCTCTTAAAATGACACAACTTTACATTCTTTATTCTTTAAAATGATACATATTTTTCCCTTAAATAATAAGAAACTAAGTATATATGGATAATATAACTGAAAAAGCTCGTAAATTTAATCTATCAAAGTTTTGGTTTAAAACGTGGGGTCGAATCCACTTATTATAATTTTGGTCCCAATCTAGTTCATCAATATTAAATTAAACTGCTAGGATTCATCAAGTGGTGAGGGATTTGAAGAGTTTATTATAGGTTCAAACCTCAGTATCATGTTAAAAAAAAAAAAAATCCATTAATTTTTTTTTTTCCTAGTAAAGATTGGATTCAATCGGGCTAGCCTTAAATTGCTATATATTTAACAAAACAAACATCTTCTCTACCTATATGAATAAAGCTAAGATTGAATATAGATTCAGAGTTAATAGATTCAGGTAGTGTTTGGTTCGGGACAAATTTTTTTTTTACTAGAGAAATGTAATTGATAGGAAAATGATTAGAAAGTGAGTTTGGTAGGAAAATGTAAAAAAAGTTGTTTGGTTGACCGAAATATTACCAGGGAAATTTATTAAAATATGTAAAATTTATGTTCGGAAGAAACTTTGCACCTGTTTTTTCACTTTTCCAGTTATCTCAAAATACCACATCTCAAGTGGTATTCTGTAACAGTGAAATTCATCCAAAAATCAACACAAAAGTCATTTTCCTATCTATCCTATTTGCCTAGTATTTTTTGAAAAAACTTGAACCAAACGTGGTATTTTCCAATATCCACTTACACTTTCCCATCAATCCCAAAATAAACCTTCAACCAAACACTACCTCAGAGTTATTTTTACAAATGCAGCCAAGCACCTCGGTTTCCCATACTTGAGCGCATACATAAACTCAATTGGAACAAGTTATAGACACGGGGCAAACTTCGCTGCAGGAGCATCAACCATTAGGCGACAAAACAAGACTTTCTTTGATGGTGGTAGTCCTTTCACTCTTGAAATCCAAATTGCACAGTTTAACCAGTTTAAAGCACGCACTGGGAAGTTCTTCACACAAGGTTTTTCCGGGATGTACATAATATATCTTAGCCTCCAATTTAATAAGTTGAATTTATAGTCACTTAATTATGTATATGTTATTTGCAGCGAAGAAAAATTCATACAGAAAGCACTTTCCCGGGCCAGAGGACTTTGCAAAGGCTATTTACACACTTGACATTGGGATAAATGATATTGCTGATGCTCTTCAAAATGTAGGAAAGGAAGATTCTCAAGCAGTGATCTTAGATATTGTGGAATATTTTTCAAACCAAGTTCAAGTAAGCGATTCAATTTAGAAGAGTTGTGTTTATTTTGATAATTTAATTAGGCACGTACTTATTTAAGAACACTTGTGTCAGAATTTATATGGACTTGGAGCAAGGACAATTTGGATACATAACGCAGGCCCCATTGGTTGCTTGCCAGTGTCCATGCCAATGCACAATGCATATAATATTACTCTTGTGCCTGGTTTTCTAGATCAAAACGGCTGTGTAAATTATCCAAACGACATGGCCAAAGAGTTTAATAAAGAGCTCAAGAAAATAGTGGTCAAACTAAGGGCAACGCTCCCTGATGCTTCATTAACATATGTGGACACGTTCTCCGCTAAGTATGAACTAATCAGTAATGCTAAAAAAGAAGGTAATTCTCTTTGTCATACAATGTTTTACTTCTAGCTAGTAGCTGCCAAAACTGAAGAGTACTCTACAAATGGATTTACATTATCAATTGTTGCCTTCAATTACAGGATTTGTTGACCCATCTAAAATATGTTGTGGGTATCATGAGAATGGTAATCACGTGTCTTGTGGGAACAAAGCAATGATTAATGGTAAAGAAATCTTTGCTGGTTCGTGTGAAGATCCATCAAAGTACATTTTCTGGGATGGTGTGCACTACACTGAGGCAGCAAATAGGTGGATTGCCAATCGAATTATTAACGGTTCATTCTCAGATCCACCAGTTCCCATTATACATTCATGTCACAAATCGCTAGCATAGATAACAGTTTTTCGATCTATTAAAATTTAAGATATAAAGCACAGGGGAAGTGTACCGCATTGCCAGCAGGGAATTATTTACTTGATTTGTTATTTCATAACCGCGGTAATGTTTACACTTTTTCTAGTTTGGGAAGGTAAAAAGGAGGAAAAAGGCCGTGTTAGAAGGCATGTTTTTGTTATTTTATGATTAAAAAAAGGAATGAATGGTGTAATGAAAATATTGTCTAAATAATAATAATAATAATAATAACAAATTATTATTATTATTTCATCCAGGAAATTCTTTTACATTTTAAACGACAAATATTATTTTTACTTGTACACTCGAAGAAGGCAATGAGTAAACATGGAATTCCATAACATATTCTTGCAATTAACTACAAAAGGAATCTTCTATAGCATAACACGATGCTTAGGTGGTGAAACCTTTGGGAAAAGAGATGGGTTGATATAAAAACTCAATTCAATCTGAAATTTTAAGTTATTATAAGCCATTTTGATAATTTTAAATATTATTTTTCTAACACACGCCACTAAAGTATAAGCTCTTTTTAGGATTGAAACGTGGATAACTTACCATCCCACCATCCAAAAGCCTTTTTTTAGTGATTGAAACATGAAACATCACTACTAGAAAATAAAGGCAACTGCGAGGGGGGAAAATTCGTCGTTGTTTGTGGCGGAATCAGCGATAGACACCAAATTGCAATGGCATATAAGCCAAAATTATCGATGCAACTGCGAGGGGGAAAAATCCATCGCAGATTCGGTCGAAATTTTGATGCAAGGCCAAAGCAAATTGCGACGAAAAAATTTATGACAGCAAAAGACATCGCACAGCTGGGGACGAAAATTTATGACGAATGTATGATGTTAATCCGTCGCAATATGCGATGGAAATTGCGATGGTGATAGATTGCGTAGGAATTTGCGACGGATGTGTACTGCCGTTGCAAATAGTGAAATATAATATATTTTTGAATTGCTTACAATTTTTTATATATTGACCCTAATTTAATTTAAAGGCTCTTTTCTCTTATTATTATTTATTTTCACTTCCTACTAAAGTTATTATGCTATTATCTTTGTAACTACTTCCTAATCTCCTCGTCTTGTGCCCTAATGGCCCTTTGGATTTCGAATATGCCAACTCAAGGTAAAAACTATGCATAGTCAACCTCTTCTCATTGTCATCAATAAATATACCTGTGAAATTCATATGTATTATTGTACTACATATATTATATGGGATATGGAACTTAAACTCAAATTTTACTCTTGAGAGCTTATTAGTGATGATTATATGGCTTTCCCAATGAGAAATATAATTAATAATAAATTTGTCCTTCAATCACATCTCCTCTTTTTATAGTACGCCATGAATATGTTTACAATAAGTTTTATTTTCACATATCTTATATGCATTGTTGGAGAAAAAGTTATTCCACTAGCATAAGGTGAAAACTGTGCATCAGGAAATAATCAAAGATTTCTGCTCAACAAATAATTTGGAGACATGAATCTCTACTAGAAAACACGCTTTTTGCGACGGACATTATCCATCTCAAATACAGTTTGAATTGGAAATTGCGACAGAAAATAGCAGTTGCTGAAACCCTTGCCGCAAAAGGAATTTGCGACAACATTTCATCGTTCTAATTTCCGTCGCAAATTACGGTGGAAAATTTTCATCCCAAAAATGCATTTTCCATTGCAAAAGACTGAAATGAATCCGGATTAACTGCAATGAATACCGCCACAAATTGCCGCAAAAAACCAGTCGCAAATTTGCAACGAAAAGTTAAAAATATTGTCGCAAATTTGTGACGGAATAATAATTTCTGTCCCAAACAATTGCATAATTTGTGATCGAATATCCATAAATTTTCATCAAAATTTACAAAATATAAAAAAATTAAATAGAATTTGCAACGGTTATTTATTTTAACTATAACAAAAATGATAACAAAACCGAAATTGAAATAATCCCACTAGTGTAAGAACCCGCACCGTTAATTAAGGAAGTTAATTAATAAATTATGTGAAATTAGGAAATAATTCCATAATTGACCCTAATAATTATTATGAGGCTTAAATAAATATAGAAAGTGGTTAATAATGCTGAAAGGCGCTTTTCGAACAAAAAGTGCAGATACTGGTTCTGCTAGTCGATATAAATGTGTACCGATAAAGTATCCCAGAAAATTATAATAAGTGCATGAATATTACTAGAATAATATATAGGACTTGTAAAACGAGTTTCAAGTTAAAATAATGAGAATTAGTGTCAGAACTGATACTGGCTATGGGAAAAGCGCGTATCGGAAAGGTGCTGCGAAAAATATAAGAAAAATATGATAATTCTCGTAAAATTGAGTAGGATAAGAATTCTGAGTTTGGGATTAAAATGATAAGTGTAGCAATTAATGTTAATACTGTGTGTTTAACTCTTAAACCGCTATAAATAGACTTGTTTGGCCCAAAACCTGACACAAGCTGTCGAACTCGCGCAAATTAAAAATTATTTTTTATTAGGGTTCAGAAAATTTGTAGTAAAGTGGAAACCCTAAGTCATTTCTCAATGAAATTGTTTTGGTAAAAATCGCTTATGATGACAGAAAATTAAAAGGGGGTTTTGGATTTTGATTGAATAATTAAAAAGGCATAATATAATTTTGGAATAAAAATTCGTAATTAAAAGTTAACCAACCTAAGGTTAGGGTTCCATGGACGTCTTTCTTCGGATAAAAAGATATCAGAATCGTGATTGATCGTCAATCGAATCAGAATCCTTATTTCCAATTGACAACCCTCTCTAAGCGATCGCTTAGCATTTGATCAAATACGGTGCTTCTACTCATACAATCGCAGAGTATCAGCCCATTTGATTTAAGGTCATAGGGTCAATCAATCTAACCATCAAATCTGATGATTAATCCCTTTCCATAATCGCAATTACGAACCTCAGATTGAATATCCACGATCGCACGATATCAATCTGAGTTGGGAAGGGAAACGAAACTGATTTAAAATAAAGCGCAGACCCTCAAGACTAATCCATGGAATCCGTTACCCTTAGGTTGATTAAAAGGTTCTTAGCCTCGCATGGCTAAGGAAACATGATTAAAATAAAATAAAAAGAAGAAGAAGAAAAAGATGAAGAACGCGAAGAACGCTCTAAAGAAAGTGCTTTGATCCCAAAATACGAAAATTCAGAATCAATAAAATGTTTCCTACTCTGCCGTCATATACCCCTACCCAAAGCGGGTTAGGGTTCATTTCTGATCGGACCATCTTTCTAAAATACGAAATAAAATAAATAAAGTAAAATGAAACTAAAACTTGGCTTTGGGTCACTTAAGTAACTGGGTTTTAATTTAAATTACAAGTCCAATAATAAAATAAAACTTTAGCAAAATGCGTCCGACTTGGCGTAAGAAATCGACCAGCTTCCAGTCCGAATTGGGCTTCGAACTCTGTGTTATCTGAAAAATCCAACAAGAACGGAGTCAATCCGACAATTGTGGACCGAGATATGGCCAAAATACAGAAGTAACATAAAGTTGAAAAATTCTGACAAAAATAAATTAAACCCAATCAAAAACTAAAAATGTAAATTAACTCAAAACATCATTATTTTATTCAAATAAATCCAAAAAATACTAATCAAGAGTAATAAATAAGTTTAATAAAAAATGAGTTATCAAATTCCCTCACACTTATCTTTTTGCACTCCTGGGCAAAATCTAGAATAGAAAAAGAAAGCAAAGAAATAAGAAAAGAGTGAAGATCAACTTATCCTTCCTAATAATTAGCAAGTATACAAAAGATAACAAAAATCACAAGTCTTGAACAGATAAAGAAACCAGGACAAAAATTCTTTAATCTCAAATCACAAGACCTGTCAATTTCAACTGCAACTGCTAACTACACAAAAATGGTTCCTCACAGGATGCTCTCAATTTTTCTCTCAATTGTATCAGTTAATTTAGTATATCACTCAAATCAACTCAAGAAAATCATCCTACCATAGGCTTGCTCAAGTTCTACTTCTCCACTGCTAATAACACATGCATGCACAAATCAAGAGGGCTTTAAGCAGGGTTGTAATGGGGCTGAGGTAAAGGTATGAATGAATATGGAAGAGAAGGCTAAACACCCCAGAAATTTACAAAGAGCAAAAGTTAAGAACTAAACTAAAAACATAAAACAAATATAATGAAAAGATAGAAATAAACACAAATTTTTTTTTTTGCTTTTTTTGCTTTTGTTTTTGTTTTTTTATGTTTTTTTTTTGTTTTTTGTTTTTTGTTTTTTTCAGAAAGTATAATACGAACAAAATATCCAGATGGTTACCCCCCACACTTAATCTTTGCACGTCTCAAGCAAACCCCCACACTTAAACAAAACACTACAGTAAAACCAATGCTCAGTAAATCTCCAGGGTGTGGAATTAATTGGTTTTTCACTTAGGCTTGTAATGTGGCTAAAGAAATAAAGGATATAAAGGCTCAAAGGGGTTCACCAAGGGATAATAATGTAAGGGATGGCTATCTGGCTAAAGTGGGTAAGGAAAGAAATGAATGCCTCAATCATATTCATGCATGTAAGTGAAAAATGCAATTTCAAAAAGAATCAGAGAAAGTTCTAGAGGACAACAATCAAGAGCAGAATCACACAAGAAAGAAAAACTGGCCTACAGATTAAGACCATGTCTACAGGCTCAAAAACCTCACAAGGGTATACCAAATCATGCAATCAGCAGCACAATATCAAGCAGCAAGTAATGCAATCCAAGAATCAAGAACCAAGCCTAAGCAGAATTTTCTATCACACCCTGTGATTTAAGTATATACATGTACCACTTAATAATTACCAGAAAGAAAAGGAAAATCTACCTATGAAAAATCATAAACTAAAAGAAAGAAAGGAAAAGAAAAATAAAAATGCAAATAACAGAAAGAAAAGAAAAAGAAGGAAGAGAACTCCCTGAACTCC